GTCTTCTTTTGGTTGCATTTAATAGAGTTTAGGAGCAAAAAGGAACAGAAGATGTTTGTTGTCTCTTGTAGGGCTTGTATACTTGAACTAGTGATGGCGACGTCATCCATATAAGCGAGAATCTTGGAAGTTACTGAGTGTGAGGCTATTCTTGTGACCATGGGATCATAAAAGATAGTCCATAGTAGGGGAGACAATGTTTCGCCTTGATCTAGGTCTTTGCTAACTATGAGGGGATTAGACAGATTATAATATGTTATTATTTTTAGTTCTCTTTCATTCAGGAGATCAAGAAGTAGTGAGTTGAATTTTGTTGGAAGTTTAATTCGTTCCAAAGCTTTGTTGAGGCTGGGGAGGTTTACAGAATCGAAGGCTTTGGAAATGTCGAATGATGTGACCCAGATTTCTTTGTTCAGGTTGTTTGCTATGTTGATGCTTGAGGTAATTATTGCAATAGGTTCAGTGGTACTCTGGTTTTTCAGACCTGCATAGTTGGATTCAGAGATAACTTTATACTCTGAGATTTTGGTGGCAAGTCTGTTGTTGACAATCTTTGTGAAGATCTTTCTGCTAGTCTTGATGAAAGATATTGGACGAGTATCAGTAAGGTTATGTGACCAAACTAGCTTTTTTGGTAGTAAAGTAATCACTGATTGTTTCCAGAATTTGGGAACTTGGCTTGTCGAGAGTGAGCTGTTGAACAAAGTTTTTAAATATTTTTTTGCTGTTGTGCCGATATGGGCCCATGCTTCATAAGGGATGAGAGTGAGTACAGGGGCCTTGCATTTAGGAAGGCTGGCGAATGCCTCTTCCATTTCTGAGTCTGAAATTGCTGATGTGATATCAAGAAAGGCATTGTTGGGAATGTGGTTAAGTGGTTTGTAGTGGTCGTTCCAATCATTGTTCAGAAGAAAATGTTTAGGGTCTAAGATTTCCTTGAAGTGGTTGAATATGATGGTTGTAAGCTCATCTGAATCGTCGTGGAGTTGGTCATCATCGCCTATTAGTATTGAGAGGTCAAGAGAAGGTTTTAAATCACCTAATGCTTTTTTGAGAGCGTTTTTGGGCCTGGTCCAAAATCTGTGGTAATTTGATTCTATTCCTTTTTGTATTTCTTGGGTAATGATGTCGTTGAGTTTGGCTAATTTTTCTTTAATCATGATTTTCATCAGTTTTTTGAGATCTTTGATGCATGGAGGGTTGTCAGTAATTCTTTGGAGAGCTGCAGCTGCAATTTTTGGAAGTTTAGAAGCGAAGTTATTGTTGTTGTGATTGTTTCTGCTTTTATTAATAGCTTTCTTTATGGCCTTCAGAGCTCTGGTGTAGTGTAAAACAAATAAGTTTTTATGATATAATAAAATATATATATATATATTATTATGTTTTTAAAATTTATATTAAAAAAATTAAATTTTATATAAAGCAAATAATTTTTTATTATGTAATAAAATTAAAACAATTTTTAAAATACTATGTTTTTTTGCAAAAATTTAAAAAACCATATTATAATTTTATAATAATTTATTTTTTTTATTTATTTTTTTTTTCGGATAAAAGATACTTTGTGCATATGCATTTTATTGAGTAATTTATGTCCAATTACAGATATACTAAGGTTCATTTAAGTTAACCTTGCTTCTACACCTATAGACTTACCCAATATATCAATTGAACACCTTGAAGGTGGATTCGCATCCTGGGTGGGATCTTTAGAGGATAAAAAATCTTATCACTAGTTTATAAACTATCTAACCTAATCTAGATCCTGTCTCGACTGCATCCGTCATGAGAGAGACACAATTATTACCTTTCAGGGGTATGGTTGTGAAACACCCAGATATTCCTGTATATATTTTTTATTCAGAATCTCGGAGAAGATAAATCACTTTTTGTCACCACCTGTGACTTCTGATTATACCAAGTACCTTATTTGAGATATAACCTTCTTTTAAGCAAGCGCCGGATTGGGATAACCCCAGGCTAGGATGTTCTTTGTGTAATGGAGTCTGTCGTCGCCAGTTTTGATTAGAGTTGTAGACTTATACCGAAGTTAGACCAGAAGCCTTTTCTCGTACAACCTTCCTTAATTCGACCTATTTTCGGCCTGCAATTATTGGAAAGATCAGAGGTCCCATCTTCATGCAGCCTAGCTAAATTTGGAAATGGATTGTTAGCTGATTAGGTACGACATGAATTGGAAGCTAGTCAACCAATCCTAAAGGTGATAAATTTTTTGTAACCAGGTGGGTTTGAACCTTAGATCATCTCTTGGTGACCTATGGGGTATTATCACCGTGCCATGAATCCATAGGTCTATTTTATAATAATTTATATATAAAACTTTAACAAAATTTTTTTATTAATATTTATTAACTTATAGTATATTTAAAATATAAAAATAATAAAAAATTTTAAAAATGTTTTTAAGTAATTTAGAATTATAAATTTTTATAATATTTAAATAATTATTAATAAAATTATATTAAAAAATTAATTTTAAAAAACTATGATTTACATTATATATATTATTGAAATTTGTAGATTCTTGATACAATTAATTAAGTTACTATTAAATATATAAATAATTAAGGTATAATATAATCGTTTTTAATAATTTTAAAAAATTAAATTAATAGCAAATAATTTATAACACATATATAATTTATATTGTATATAATTTGTAAAATATAATAATAAACTTACTTGTAAATTGTAATATTTTAATTTTGTTAAAATATATATATATATTTTTAATTGACTAAAGGTATTAGATGCGAGATTTTATTTATTAATTGATAGTACTGTTATTACATCAAACACCTTTACAGACTAAACTATTGCTATTCTAGAATGTAAATTAATGCTACCTAGTAATTACTATTTTCAGTAGTACTGATTTTCCAAAGTCCAACCCGACTACCCTGATTGATCAGCTTGCATCAAGTAAATGGGCTCGTGCCAGGTGGGACTTACATAGGATGGAGGAAATCCTACCACTAGTTTAAATCTACCATTCTATTGGTCCAGTTAAAATATATAATATTATAAAATTTTATAGCTAAAAATATTTAATTAAATTATATAAATAAAAAATTATTTAAGTATAAATTTATTAAAATTTTTAAATATTGTAATTTTTATTTTTGAATATATTATTTTTTTTATTGTTTAATTTTGTAATTTTTTTATAAATTTTTTATTATCAAATATTTTTTAATTACAAATATTTTTATTGTCAAATGTTATAAAATTTTATTATCAAATATTTCTTAATGACAAATGTTTTATTGATGGTTTTTTTATTATCAAATATTGTATTTTTTATTATCAAATTGTTATATATTTTTTATATATTAAGTGATATAAATTCAATAAAACTTTGATATAAATTTTTATTAATAAATTTGAATTTAATTGATCGTAATTTAACAAGTGAATAATATAATTTGAACTAGTGATAATAATATAAACTAGTTAATTATGTGTATTAATTTGATATTTCTTAAATATAAATTAGCTAATTCAAATAAATTATTGCAATTAACATTTAACTTAATTAGTTTAAGAAATGTAAGTTGTTTTAATATTATGTACTATATATGATATTTTATATATGTATATTATTAATAGAAGCAATGGAAATTTATATATAATAATAATAATATTATTAATTTTTTATTTTGATTGTATAAATCATTTATTTTTTTATACGATTTTGTTAATATTACAGAAATTTTATTTTTCGACCATTACCAGTAGGACATTCTAAAAATAGAAACAAATATTTACTGTTCAAAGCAATGCGAAATTTTTAAAAGGAAACGCACCAACATTTACAGTATATTAATATTTATCACACAAATTGTTGTCCATCAAACCCACCCTAAGCTTATTGGTCTGGATTTTAAAAAGAATGTTCGATTTTTTCGATTTACAATTTGGCATCAAATTTATTTAACAATCAAACTGTGTAATAAATAATGGCATAATATATGATTTTTAAAAATACATTAATAAAGATTTTTCTTTGGAGAAATTTGTTACTGTACTGTATCTACAAATAAAAACAAGGATTGGGAGTTTCAATTCCTTGAATAACCGTTATTAAGTAATCGGGTCTTTTTGGAACTGGTGGCATGATCTTCATCATCTGAGCTGAGAACAATAATTTCGGGAGTCGAGCTTTTTTTCCTTCGTCTTGTACCAGTTCCAGCGGCGTTGCTGTATAGATCGTCGACGGGCTCTTCTTTAATGGTCACACCCTCTTGTTTAATTTTCACCGAACTTTGATCATCCACTACTTCAATGCATTGCGGTGTTAGATTACTGCCAATCATTTGCCTAGCGCTGGGAAAAGAGTGTCCACGTGCTCGTAGCCAGGCCGCAGCACGGTAGTGCAAATGAAGGACGGCCAGTGGTGGTCCGTGTTCTTGTAAGTAAGTATCAAATCGTGTGATTGTTGGGTTGGGCACAGATTGAACCTCATATTGCGTTGAAAGCTTGATTGCTCTCGTGTTATTATTTTCAGGGACAACGGTTGGTTCAACGTTGTAATCTGGTGGGGGAGCGACATTCCATGCAATTCGTTGGGCGCGATAAAAGTACACCGAGACGGCACCCGGTCCACCAAAAGGAAGGATCTTTCCGGGTGACTGACGATTCTTATCATCTTCTTCGGACCAGATCGTTGGATCAAATTTGAAATAGTATATTTTGTCTCTATTTTTACTCCAGAAACATGTGCGTGTTTCGCCAAGTTTTAAAGGATTAATATCTGTGTAAGAGTAATCATATTCGCCATCCACATATAAAAAGACTTTGATAGGATCATCCTGACAACTAAGAGGCGGCGCGGAGAATCTAATAGCGTATCTTGTACCAAATTCTTGAACAGCAGCATAATGTATCATGGGACTATATTACACACAAAGGCATTTACATTGAAGTAACTCCTTGGCAAAAAATTTGAATAAAACACATTAAAAGGTATACCTTGGATCTTCAGGTGCTGTTATACTTTTGCGAGTATGTGAGGGTCCTGTGGTCATGTTCTTTTGGTTTGCAAAAAACGAGAGATTATGATTCTAACAATACATAAGGCCAACATTGCAAATAGCAGCTAGACTAATTGATATACTTTGCATTTGGACGTAGGCTCAGTAATTTCGACGAGTGGTTCGCCATTAACAAGGATCTCCAAGGAAAACCCGTTTAACCTCATTTTTAATGAGTAACTCGAATAGCTACAAAGAATATCACTGGAATATGAAAATTGAGAGCTCTTTAGAAATTTCAGGTGAAGGAACAAAATGCACAAAAGAAGTCGAAGGTCAAAAGTTCGGAATGTTACCGATAAATGACCGAACACTTTATTTCATGTGGTGTGACATGTAATCACGTGGTAGAGGTTTTTAAAACGACTTAAATTATATGCAAAAATACTTTGAACTACTCTTCCACACAGTAAACCATGTCGATAGACCAATATTCTATAATAGTTGGAATAGGTACATTATCACTTGGAGTGGAAATTTTTGACGCTTCCCTATATTCTTTACATTCTTCTAACGTTCACATTTTTGTATAAGATTTCGGCACAACGGCGAGTTCGTTTGCTTATTGTCATACGTCCAACATCGATCAAGAAGTAGTAATAAATAGTGCGTGGCCGGGGCAAGCGCTAGGTGTTTTTAAGACCAATACGGTACTACTGTATGATAGCAAGTCATGGGATGTCATTGCTTGGGGAGCAAATGCTGTCGTTCGTAAATTCGACAAGAAGAAAAAGAAAATGGCAAACGATACCTCAAACGGTGGGCCAGCGATAACTGTCGGTCTGTTCAAACTTCATTTAGCTGATATAAGAGAAGAAGACAAACCTCCATTGCCCATGGGTTTGGATTATAGGAAGTGTATTGTGGATTATCTTTCCGAGATGAGAAAGGTAAGTTTCGAAAAAACCGTGACCGACTCGTAATGATAATGAATTCAATGTGATTTTTAACCGCATTAGGTTATAAGAACGACCCTTGATACAAGATGGCCAGGTAAACCTCTACAGAACTAGCTTAATGTCAGAGACAGATTATCGGATCCACTTGTTCTATTGATTTCACTACCTTAAACGCAGGTATCGACTTCTATCGAAATGTCAAATTTATTATCACGGGTAAGTATCTATTTTCATAAGTTGAGTGTGAATTGGTAAATTTCTTCTTAAGGATAATGAATGATACTTTGTTTATATATATACATACATGTATGCTCAGTTCCTCTAAATTTTTCGGAAAAATCCAGAACGATATTGCGCGAATGTGCTCTGAATGCTGGACTATTGGAATTTCTAACTTCACCTAGCTTGGAATTTGTGACCGAACGTACGTGGATATCAAGTCATTCTTTTTTTTTCAAGTATTACTTTTTGATCTAATCATGCATTAATCTGTTGGATCTTTTCTTTAAAATAGCCGATGCTGCGGCAACTCATTGCATTTCTTCTGTAAGACAATTGCAAGCTGAAGGTGAGTAGATAGTGTTTACTAATTCCAATTATTTTGAGTTTTCCTTTGATTAAGTAATCCAATCAATATCATAGAGAATATCATGGTTGTAGATTGTGGTGGGGGTGTAATAGATATAACGATTCGCAAGCTTACCACTGATGGTAAATTAGCTGAGATCATCAAATACACTAGCGAATTTGGTGGCAGCATCTTTGTTGACAAAGGTTTTATTCGATTCCTTTGTGAACGGTTTGGATTATTCGAAGCATTGCAACAGGTTCAAATGTATCATTATGATCAATTGCAGTATCTCATTTACGAATTCAGTCAAAGAGTCAAATTATCATTTACTGGGGATCCATCAACATTCAAGTCAGTCGAATTAGACCTGGAAGATTGTTGTCCTGCACTTTTAAATTATGTCACAGGTGATGTCAAAAAACAAATGGAGAAATCGGAATGGCTGATAGGGTTAGGATATGAAGACGTCAAGGTCATGTTTGATCCGGTCATTCAACGCATCATCCAAATGATAGGAGGTCACATGACATTTCCTAATGTAAAGTGTGCTGCCTTGTTCCTCGTTGGAGGATTCAGCGAATCTTTGTACTTCCAAAGGCAAGTGAGAGAAGCATTTCAACTGTATGTTCCGATCATAGAAATTCCCAAACAACCTACGAATGCGATATTAAGGGGAGCGATTCAGCATGTATTAGGTATGCGTACAATTCGATCAAGAATATTAAGATACACCTACGGAGTTCAAGTCACAGCTAAATGGAAAAAAGGCGATCCGCCACAACGAAAAACGCAAGATGGTCTCATGTACGTTTTTCACACGTTGGTGAAACGCGGGACCGAAGTTAAGGTGGATCAAATGTTTGGATATGTTGCAAGACCATCAGGATCACACCAAATAGATATGACGTTCGATATTTATGCATCGCCGAACACGGACGTGAGATTTTGTGACGAGCCCGGGAACCGTTACCTAGGGACTCTAAAGGTTGATTTGTCTGACATTAAACATGGCGGTAAAAAGCTTGTAGAATTTTCTTTAGTTTTTGGGCTAACAAAAATAAAGGCAATTGCAAAGGACCAAAAAACCGGACGGGTTTATCACGCATCATTAAATCTAGATTTTTAGTAATATCAAGAGAAATATCTAATATCTAATATCTTATTTATTTAAATGTAATTTATTATTGGAACATATCTATAGATAGTTGCATTATCATATTTTTCACTTAATTACTTGATAATCCGACACTTATTACCCATTTGCTGTGTTACATAGGAGATGGATTACCGAATTGTTGAGGGTTAATAACCTGATTGGGACTCCATTTCAAATTCTTTTAGCAACTTAAAGTCTTCCATGTAAGCGGCAATAAGATCTCGGTGCACCTACAATAATATAAGGTGGTTTTATTATATATTAGAAAGATAATAGATAAAATAACACTGCGAGATCTACAATTTGCATCTTTGATAATAACCTGAGTAGGAGTGCGTTGTGTGATTTTTATGTTCTTTGCTCTATATGACTTTCTTCGACGTTTATAATCACGTTGTTCGGCCAGAAGTTCGGCACGTGATTTATATCCCTGATTTTCTCCTTTTGAGAGGTTCGTATTAGAAAAATTGAGGAGACACGTTAAGTTAAACCTTGGTTGTCAAATGTCTTACCTTTTTTCTTCTGAACGGCTTCCCAAATTTCATCAAAGTTTTGATAGTCGTCTCGTCTCTGTTGCTTACGCTCGCTACGAATGCGATTGAAAGCTGCCATCTCCTTTTCATATTCTTCAAGTCTCTGACTAACTGTTAGCCCTTGACCTACGCTGCTATTTGCGGATCCATCGGCCGCCGTTTTTTGCAATTCCTCTGAGTCGAATTTTTTTTTTGAATGACAATCACTTGGCGCCGAACTTAAGGAGAACAGAAGGGATAACTACCTTTATTCAAGGACAATACGACCGGAGAATTTTGATAGAAAAAAGCGGAACTCGGCACTTGCTTTCGCTTACCACGGAAAGCAATGACGATATTAATAAGAGATATTTAAGAAAAAAAAAAGTTCTCCAAACAATTATTACCCTTCCACGTTCAGAAGTTATTCCGTATTGCTTTAACTCACAACTTTTATGATGTCGCTCGTAAGACTTAACGGGAACTTTGTGGGCAGCATTAAAGGGGCATGTCATGAGCCCATCGGTTTCCTATCCGAAGTTGTAGTGCATTTTATTTGCAAAAGGTAAAATAAAATACATCTGGTCAAAAGAAGAGGAGGAAACCTGCTTGCGAATCTTGAGAGTTTCAAAGTCCCAAGAAAGCTCGGTCAACAGTTCTTCAAATTTTTTTTCGTATTCATCAATTTGATTTTCATAAGATTGGATCAACTCTTGACGTTCAGTGAAAGACATTTAAGTTGCAGATCAATAATTTTAGGCAGAATTATAGGATCATGAAATTCCGCCCAACACGAGCCAGTGGATCGCGAAAAAAGTCATGCTTTTTACGTGCCATTTCGCGTTCTAATGCTTATGCATGCAAATCCAATTGGTCAAATCCATGCATGTAGGCACTCACCTGACTATAAATTGAAAAACTAAGATTTCTCTCGATACACCTCCCTCTTTCTTCAATATGGACGATCAAATTTATGACGGAGAAAGTGAGAGTAGTCCCGCCGAAAAGCTGCGAGCAAAACAAGAAAAAAAGAACTTGAGAAAGGCTCAAAAAAAAGCGGCCAAAAATTCAAGCAGTTCTGCACCGGTAATGTCTCCCGCAGCTAAGCAAGCGGAATTACAAGAAAAAGTAAGAATTCTGGTTAATCAGCTGGCTATACGTGAGGCGATGCAACCTTCTAGTACCGGTAATTCCCAGAGGGTAAAGGATATGAGCTCTCACAAGTTTTGGAGTACTCAACCTGTTCCAAAGCATGGTTCGTTCCTCACATCATGTTCTCCTCAAAGAAAACAACGAATTTTGCTCTAACCACAATTCGTTATAGGGGAGACCATCGAGGAAGAAGGTCCCATAGAGGAGAACACTCCACATGATCAAATTCGCAAGGAACCGTATACATTACCAAAAGAATTTGAATGGTCAACTTTGGAATTGAATGATGAGAGTGAGGTGTGTGCTACTGGTTTTCTTTTTTTTTTTCTAATGCTTCGTAATGCACCATACTGTCCATTACATTTCTAATTCCTGTGTTTTATTAGCTAAACGAGCTTTACACCCTTTTAACTAATAATTATGTCGAAGATGATGATGCGATGTTCCGTTTTGATTATTCGGGTGAATTTTTGAAATGGTATGATTCTTTAAATTATGCCTTCATTCGTCCAATGTTATTACTTTAACACACTTCACATTTAGGGCCCTTCAACCACCAGGCTATAAGAAGACATGGCATGTGGGTGTTCGTGTTAGTGCCACTAAACGTCTTGTCGCCTTTGTTAGCGGTATTCCAGCCGACATCCGGATTTATAACTCGTGAGTTTTCCAACTGGTCGCAGTGACTGACCACCAAAATTATTATCTTTCTAACATTGCAACTATTTGACAGTCGTCAGCACCTTGTCGAAATCAACTTCCTGTGTGTTCACAAGAAGCTTCGAAGTAAAAGATTGGCGCCTGTCTTGATCAAAGAGATCACGAGACGTTCTCATCTCGAGGGAATATTTCAGGCGGTCTACACAGCAGGTGTTGTTCTACCAAGGCCTATTTCCAAGGCGCGGTAATTCATATATTTCATTTTTCACTACCTTCATTCTTATTCAATTTTCGCTTTGAAAATTTATTGTTTCCTTCGACCTAATTTTTTCCTGAACAGTTATTTTCATCGCTCGCTTAACCCCAAAAAATTAATTGACACGAAATTTTCGAGTCTACCTTCTAATACTCCGATGACGCGTCACGTTAAAAAGTATAAGCTGCCGTCCGAGACCTCTACCCCCGGAATTAGACCAATGTTAGAAAAAGATGTTCCTGCGGTCAGAGTATTATTAAACAAGTATATGAGTAAATTTAATTTTGTTGCAGTTTTCAAGACGGACGAGGATGTGAAACACTGGATTTTAACCAAGGAAAATGTCATCTGGTCCTATGTTGTGGAGGTGGGGCTATAATTGATTCCCTTTTGTTATTAAATTTGGTCATTCAAATTTGTTAAAATTTCATGTCCTTTCCATTTCTTAGAACCCTGACACAAAAAAAGTGACGGATTTTTTTTCTTTCTATTATCTACCTTCATCTGTCATCGGGAATCCAAATCACAAAACCGTCAACGCCGTATACCTATTTTATTATGCTGTCCAAGAATCAGATGAAAAGGCGAGAAAGAGCAGACTTCAATTTTTATTAAAAGATGCGTTGATTTTGGCGAAATTGGTTAGAATTTATTATCTTCATCTTTTTCTTCCCTCTTAATTACAATTCACTAATCTTTATGCTTTATCGCATATTAGAAAGATGTAGACGTATTCAACTGTCTCGATATTCTAGAAAACAAAATGTTCATTGATGAACTTAAATTTGGTCCTGGAGATGGATACTTGAATTATTATATGTACAATTGGCGTTGTAGGGAAATGGGTAGTGAAGATGTTGGAGTGGTCATGTTGTAATTATCAAAATTAGGAAGAGAAATTAAGTTATTTTTTGTTTTTTTTTTTGACAGTGAACCATCGGTGTAAAGTGCATGAAATCGTAGTTATTGAATAATCTTTTATTATTTATAATGTAGTAGTGTGCCCATTGATTGTAATCTTTGGGTTATGAAGACGGCGGTTTAAATGTAATATGTTGGTTGCATACATACGCGGCCGATTCACTAATCCAAAGTATTTTGATTCTAAGCGTGATAATTGTCTGATTTTTGTAAGATCAATAAATTGTATAAATTGTTTATCTGTACATCAACTATTATATACAGTGATATCCAAAATTTTTTAAAAAATTAAAAATTATATTAATATTTAATAAATACTGCATAATATAATATATATATATATATTAAATACCATATAAACTTTTTAGTATTTTAATTATATTAATTAATATTATTATTTAAATATTATGTTTTTGTTTTTTTTATCATATTTCAAATATATATATATATTATTTTTACAAAATAACTATTAAAAGTTGAGAATTAAGTTGTAAAATTAATGTATTATAAAATTATTTTTAATTAAAAATAATTATTAAAATATATATGATCTATAGGTTTATAGCATAGTAGCAATGCTCCATAGGTCACCAGAAGAAGGTTTAGGATTCAAACCTATCTGGTTATAAAAAATTTACCATCTTCATGATTGGTTAATGGCTTCCAATTTATGTTATATCCAATCAGCCAAAAATCAACTTTCAAATTCAGTTAGATTGCATAAAAATAAGATTTTTGGTATTTCTAACAATTACAGACTAAAAATAGATTGAAGCAAGGAAGGTTACATAAGAAAATATTTTTGATCTAATTTTAGTAATAAGCTTACAAACTCTAATCCAAATTGGTGATGACAGATTCTATCACACAATATAAAAAGGTTAACTCTAAGTTGACCTATTCCAATCTGAAGCTTGAAGATCTATTTCAAAGTAATATTCTCCTGAACTTAAAATAAACTAAAAAGGCAAAGGTTATTTGTCAGGTAATAACAATTTAAGCAAAAATTATTAAGACCAAGTGAGTCTAGTGAGGATCAATAAGATTAAATTGGAATCCAAGCAAGAATTCCAGTTTCACAGGTAATAAAAATAATAATGCAATGCTATGCTAGTGGCATATTCTAAGGATCAAGTGATAACAGTAACTAGAATATTGGAATTAGTTTTTATAATAATATTTTATAAATACTTGCTCTCTGCAATAATAAACTTAGTAGGTTAGGTGGGTTTAAACTAGTGGTAGGATTCCTTTTCCTGTAAAAAGTCTTGCTTGAAGTGTAGATATACTTCCAAATGTTTAAATAAATATATAATTAGATAATAGTAATTAATATAACTAGTCTTATAACAATATATATATTAGGAAAAAAAAAAAAAACTCTTTCCCGTCTATCACCAAATTTTCTAATTAGGAAATATTTCTCAAATTAAAAAAAAAAACTCATCAAATTCTTTACCAAAACATTTTTAACTTCAAGAAACCACTATCAACAGGTATAACCTTGCAAGCACATTTATTTCATTAA